AGCCCAACGAGTTGTCCTTGGCCAGACAAGAACAGGAGGCAGGGCTGAGTCCTGCCCTCCCCAGCTCTCCTGCATGCTGCGTGGAGGGCGAGGGCCCGCCTTGCCCTCTGTACTTTGCTGCTTGAAGCAGGTTTTCCTCTTCACCATCTGCTCTGCTCTCCCCGAGCTCTGAAAACTGTGTGGGCCAGCAGTCATGTGGCCTTGAGGGGAGAATGGCCTGCCACCTGAGGAGCACCCCCGCCCCGACCTCTCACCTCTCTGATGGAAAAGCAGCTGCAAAACTGCTGTCCTTGCCCCCATCCTTGCCTAGTGAGACCCCGCCGCCAGTGTGCACATCCTCACGTGGTGCCCTTATAGGTGACTGGCCGCCGCCTCTGGAAGAACGTGTATGACGAACTAGGGGGCAGCCCTGGCAGCACCAGTGCGGCCACGTGCACGCGCCGTCACTACGAGAGGTGCGCTGGGGACCAGTTATAGGAAAGCTGGGCAGGCAGAGCCATGGGGGCAGTGGGGAGGTGGGTGATGGAGAATATTCTGCCGTGTACAGGGGTAGGGCAGGATGGGCAGCATGGTGCAGGCCTTACACTCTGCTCATTGCCGCTGGAGTGCTGGCCAGGCTGCAGGCCTCCTGGACCAGATGGCGAGCGTAGCCCTGGCGTTGCCTGTGTGCACTCTCCTCAGGGGTGCCCACAGCTGCAGGGAGGAGGTGGGAGGGCTGGCTGTGCTGCCTGGTGGACCTGCAGCTCTTCCCCAGGCTGGTCCTTCCATATGTGCGACACCTAAAAGGGGAGGATGACAAGCCGCTGCCCCCTTCCAAGCCCAGGAAGCAATACAAGATGGCCAAGGAGACTCGGGGGGACGATGGGGCCACTGAGAGGCCGAAGAAGGCCAAGGAGGAGAAGCCAGTGGGCCAGGTGAGCACTTAGCCCAGCCAGACCACCAGCTGACCCTGGGCCTCCCTGTCCCCCGCCTTTCCTACCTGCCCCACCTGTCCGCATTGTGGTATGACTGCAGTGCTCCCTGCATAGAACCAGTTGTGCCACGTGGGGTCTGAACTCCAGTCTGCATCCCATTTCCCAAGCCCCATGCCCTTACATCAGGCTGTGTGTATTTAGAGGATTGGACACCTTTTGAAATTTTTGCACAGAGGTGTTGGAAGGGCTAGCAGAGGCTCTGGGGTTCTCCCTGGAGCCCTGCTGTCACCAGGTCCCCAGAACAGGATGCATGGCTCCTACCCAGTCCTGAGGCCTGGCCTTTTCTTATTCCAGATGATGCCAGGAAAGACTAAGACAGATGCCACAGACCTGGTGAGGCCCCCCAGCCAGGAGTCCTCCCGGGACACCACGGAGCAGCCAGGCCCAGCTTCTGGGTCCTCATTGCCCTTCATGGGTGCCAGCAGCTGCCCTGAGGCCTACAAGCGGCTCCTGTCTAGCTTCTACTGCAAAGGGACACATGGCATCATGTCACCACTGGCCAAAAAGAAGCTCCTGGCCCAGGTGAGCAAGGCAGAAGCCTTGCAGTGCCAGGAGGAGGGCTGTCTCCATGGGGCAGGTGGCCCCAACAGGGAGCCCCAGGTGTCCCCAGCTGCTCACCTCCCGGAAAGTCCCTCGAATCCAGGAGGGCCGTCCGAGAACCCCAGGCACCGGCTGGCCGCTCATGAGGGATCAGAGGCCCCCGGTGGCAACCTCAGGGAGGAGGCTCAGGCGAGCCCCCACCCTCCAGCCCCCATCTTCACTGGTTGTTTCCATGCCTGCCCCTCCAAGGTACTGAAGCCCATCAGCCAGCACCCCCGGGACTTCTTCTCCTATCTCAAAGATGGGGTGCTCTTGGGGCCCTCTAGCCAAGAGAGGGGGCTGCCGGCCAGAGAGCCACCGCTGGTGTGGGGTGGGGGTGCCAGCCGCCCCTCTGCATTCCGCAAAGGTGGTCCCACAAAGGACAGCCTCTGTCCCACGCCCAAAGCTTGCTGGGTGACCCCCATGGCCAAAGCCTCTGCTGACAGCCCTGTGCCCCTGCCCACCTTCCCTGGCAGCCCAGGCCTCAGTAAGCGCAGCCGGGAGGAAGAGGGTTTTGCCCCTTGTGGCAAAAAACTACGGGCAGTGTCACCCTTCCTCAGGGAGGTGGACACCAAGGAGTGTGGGGCCAAGTCTGTGGGGCCTGGCCTGGCTGTCTCCTGCCTGCTGGGCCCAGCCCTGGGGCCTGCACTCCCAGAGGCCTACAGGGGCACCATGCTGCGCTGCCCACTGAACTTTGCCAGCACCCCAGATCCCTTAAAGGGCCAGACCACACTCCCCTTGAGCCCTCTGGTCATCCCAGCCTTCCCGGCTCACTTCCTGGCCACTACAGCACCCTCGCCCATGGCTGCTGGCCTGATGCACTTCCCCCAGGCATCCTTCGACAGTGCCCTCCGCCACAGACTTTGCCCAGCCTCGTCTGCGTGGCATGTGCCACCTGCCACAACCTATGCAGCACCCCACTTCTCTTTTCACCTCAACACCAAGCTGTAGGTCGGAGCCCGCAGTGCTGTGCTGTGGAGGGTCTGATGTGGCCCGCGCTGGGGGACACTGCCAGTGGGCTCTGTGCCGGAGCCTATACCACAGAAGAGCTGGACTGTGCCTGAGCAGGAACGGGCCCCTGCCAGGACAGCCTGGCACAGAGGGAGGTGGAAGGAAGATGGGGTTTGCCGGGGGCTGGGGCCCAGTTGGAAGGCCCTGAGAAGACAGGTGCAGGGCCAGCAGCTCCCAGCTGGGGCCCTTGGGAGCAGAGGCCAGGGATGGGTAAGGGATAGCAGCTTGAGGCATCCAGGTGCCCAAGGGAAATCCAATAAAACGTGGTGTGAACCCACCCAGCTCTGAGGTGTGATGGTGTGACCTTCTGTGGGAATGTCAGGTGGGGACATACTTGTGGGAGCACAGGGAGCCAAGTGGAAAGACTGCCTAGCACCCACTTGGATCCAGAACGCTGCCACCCCACTGAAGGGTGGGACCCAAAGCAGAAGAGCCTCCTGCTCCTACTTCAGGCTGTGACATTTGTCCTGCACCTTGAATTCACTTTCCTGGTGGAGCCTCAGGACAACTGCCTGTTACCTTCGTCATTGTAAATGGGGGCCTGCGGCTCAGAGAGGGCCGGTGACTTGTCCAGTTTCCCCCACCAGGTAAGTGGCAGAGCAGAGGGGTGACTCCTGCACTGGGAGCTGAGCCACAAGGTCCTGGTAAGAAGGAGGCTCCTGTTAGCAGAGCTCCTGAGGGCTGAGATGCCAGCGGGAAGCCTGAACTGGCCTGCCCAGGAGTGGCACAGACTCGCAGGGCTCTCGCTAAGCCCTTCCTGAGCCCCCACTCACCCCCACTGGCCTGCCACGCATACAGGTGGGCCAGGTCCCACTGGGTGTGCCTGGAGGGAAAGGGGAGTGGAAGGGCCAGAGTGAGCCTGGGCGTCTGCATTGCCTCAGACGTGGCTTCAGGGGCTCCTGCACACCCTACTGCCCAACACCCCTCCCTGTGGGCTCTGGGGAGAAGAGGGTCCCTGTCTGGAAGGGAGGCTGCCTTGCAGAGGCACCATGCCCCGCAGGCTGTGGTGGTGGGCGTGGGGCCAGGCCCCTAACTTGGGCCTCAGATTGGTCAGCAGGTGGCTTTTGACTATCACCACTGGAACTCACTCTATCCCTGGGATGCTTGTGACCTCAAGCCACAGGAGGGGCAATTAGTATGGCCTCCCTTAGTTGCCAGGTGAGCAGAAGCCAGGGACAGGGACAGGGCTGCTTACCCATGGCCATCACTGAGTATGACAACTCAGAGGAGGGCCATGCAACACGTCTAGCACCAGGGAGTGGGCTGCCAGGGCTGAAGGCCATCTTGTTCAGCCTCCTACCTCTTATTTGAGGGCCTCAGTCAGGCACAGGTGAGGGAGCTGCTCTCCAAGTTGGTGCCAGCAGTATGGAAGTCAAGAGTGGTGGTCACCACTGCTAAAAACCCCCCTCCAACCTCCCGGTAACTGCCAGGCACCAGCCCAGGTAGCTGCAAGGAGCTGTGTGGCCTCCATCCCCTACTCCACAGGGTGCTTCCCTCCTCTCCCAGCCTCGGGGTTGGTAGTCGACAGAGGGGTAAGAGGACTGTGCTCTGCTATCTCCCTGCGGGTGCCCTAGGTGCTGGGCTACTTAGAATGTGTGGAGTCCTACCTGGGATGGGGCAGGGTCGCTGGGGTCCCCTCATCTTCAAAGGCACAGCGGCCTCTCCTGGCACAGAGGTAGCCAGGTGCTCCCGGCGGCTGGACTTGGGCACCGGCTGCTCAAAGCTGTGGTTGTGGCGCCCTCTGGAGGCTGCTCTGGAGACTCCGCATGGGGCATCAGTGTCCAGCCCATCTCTGGAAGAAAGCTGCGCCCTTGCTTGGGAGTCAGCAAACTCCTGGGCCTTATGCAGGCACGATTCCTTGAAAGCCTCTGTGCGCCCTGTCCCACAGCTCCACTGTGCCAGCTCTGCATGATTTTCTCACTCCTCACAGTTGTCCTCACAAATGGGAAAAAGCTCTGAGATCTGGAACTTAGGGGGTGGGGCCACCAAGCTGGGCTGAGCAGGAGGAAGCCTGGCTCCTGGAAGGGCAGCCTGCACGTGCCTCTGGGCACTGCTGCCTGAGTGGACAGGTGTGGCGCAGGTCGGCTCACTATCCTTACTCATGTGTGTTACCTGCCAGGTCCTGACAGTCTCTGACTGCCCAGGGACCCACAGGCCAGCAGGAGTGGCAGAGCACTTACCTTTGGGGTGTAAACTATTTGGGGTCATTTCTAGGACCCCTTTCAAATTGGCTGTGCCATTAGAGCTGTTGATGGCAGTGAGAATTTCTGACCATATGGGACCACAGCCTGGAGCTGGGTAGTGGCTTCTGCCCCTTGAACCGGGTGTACCTGCCCATTCACTACCCCTCTTGTCCCCTACCCTAAGGGGCCTAGCCCCAGCCAGGCCACCCACCTGTAGGCTCAGGCTTTTCCACCTATCAAGTTGGAGTCCTGCATTGCTCAGAAACAGACAGCAGCCCCCATTCTTTGTTGTCATCGATGGGCCAAGGCCAGTTTTCTAAGCAAATGACTCCAAAGATGTCACTGCTGGAAAACTCAGTGGGCTTCCAGCCAGGAGGGCAGGGCAGACTTGGGTCACTGCCATGTTGCCCGTGCAGTATCCCTGGCTTATGGGCTAGCAGGGCAGGTGGCAGTGGTCTGGACAAGGTCCCCATCACACTCACTCCTGTGGTGTCTGCAGCGTCTGCCCCTCCCGGGGCCACGTCGGCACACCTATGAAGTTAGCACGGTCATTTCCAGGTTCTGCGCTGTGCCCAGAGTGAGGCGCGGAGAGGTTTAGTGCTGGGCAAAGGCAGGTGACCTGTCCCTGAACAGACTCCTGGTTCCCAGAGGACTTTCCCAGCTCCTCTGGCCCCTGGCCGCTCCTGCAAAGCCAATATCACCTGCCCACAGCAAGTGGCAGCCACTGCCCAGCCCTGTTTGTGGGGCCCCCAAGGGGAGAGAAGGGGCTCCTGGGTAGGAAAGTATGGCTGCCTCCTACCTTCCCCCTTCTCCCAGGGCTCCTGTCTCAGGCTCTTAGAATTCATCCCACCAGTCACTGGAGGGAGTTGCGGGGTGGGGAGGAAGATCAAAGCTGCAGACAACTGATTGAGTTGTCTGCAGCTTTGGGCTCAGTGTAAAAGTGTGCAATTGATTGGCAATGTCTGCCAAGGCCCAGGGCAGGCAGGGGTACGTTCACCTGCCAGGGTCGCTATCTACATGATGACTAGCTGGTGACCACCTAAGAGGCTAACTCAATTCCTCGCCCCACTGCCACCTTTCAGCCAGGTCCTGTGCAGAGCCGTCTGCTTTTCCTCCCACATGAGCAGGGCCTGGGCAGGGGGTCGGGTGGGCATCACTTGCCTGTGAGCTGCTGAGTCAATGCCTGGGTAGTAATCAGGAAGGCAGCTTCTTGGGAGAAATCCAGGTAGGCTCCCCACTCCTCACCCATCGCAAAAAAAGTCTTTCCACCATGGGCTGTGTGGACAGGGGTAATTGTGACCAACATTAGGAGTGGAGTTGGAGTGAAACAACTGCAGTGTCATTTGTAGGGTAACCACTGTGCTTTTGCGATGGGGTCCGTGGCCTTGGGTATGGAGAAAATCAGTACTTGGTAAATTAAAACAGTCATTCCAAATCCCCTTGTCCTTGCTAGCTGAATTTCAACTGAGTCTACAGCACCACCTAGGACTAACGGGACATGAGTGGTGGAAGCATCATGACAGTCCTGCTCCCCACTTCCCCAGTCTCCTGGCAGCTAGGAGCCATGACTTGGCTCTGGCCACTGACATCTGTCATGGACAGACTTGTCCCACCCCCCATTCCAGTGTTGAAGCTCTAACCCCCACTGTGACTGTTTGGAGATGGGGCCTTTAAGGAAGCAAGTAGGGTTAAGCGAGGCCATGGGGTATGGCCCTAACCAAATAAAACTGGTGTCCTTATAAAGGACATCCGTTGCCCTTTTGAAGAAAGGGGGTCATGAGAGCAGGCTTCCAAGTAACTTGTAAACGTATTTATGACACATGGGCTGTAGAATGGTGTCCCAGTCTGCCTGCGGCTGAGTCCAGCCTCAGTGCCAAGAGCACACCACTGTAACCCAGCCCCAAGACTACCACCCTAAGACATGGCGCTCCTGTTCCCCGAAGGGTGAGTCAGGATCTCAAGGGTTGAAACTGAATCAGTAACAATCCTGGCCTGGCTTTGTGTGACTTTGCATCGACCTCATTATCAACATCTTGACATGTGCCCCTTCACACAGATACCCGAGCCATAGTCGTAATGATCGAATGTTGCTTTTGACTGCTGACACTACTGGGGTTGCAACAGAGAGCCCACGGCTATCCCCAGAGTGGTGCAGCCTGACCTGGTCCCTGTCATGGAGCTGGCTCAGGGTCGCAGCCATGCTCCAGGAAGGCCCTGTGTGTCTTGGGTATCCCAAGTCTTCCTTGGAGTCTAAAGAATCCCAGTAGCCTCCCCATGAACCCAGATGCAATGCCTGCTACCTGCCACTTGAACACCATCCGTCACCCAGATGTCCTTTGTGGTGAACGTCCAGGGACCTCAGCCGTAGGTCCCAGACAGTAGCCGCAGCAGTGGTGTTGGGCTGAGCCTTGCCCCTGTCAAGTCAATGATGACTGAGAGGACTTGCTAGGCCTTGTGCTGAGCTGGGCCGCCTACTAGCCCTCCACGGCCAGCACAAGGGTACTGACCTTCGGGGGGCCGGGATCTCTACTCCATCACTTTTGCCAGGGAACACCCCTGAGGGCAAGGAGCTCGCAGTGCCCTGAGCTTCCATCTCACAGGTAAGTGAAGGACTCTGTCTAGGCAGGAAGTCGGGCCTCTGGTTTGAGGAAGACTTGCCAGGTAGTGAATTGTAATCACTCCAGAATTTCCAGGAAATACAGCTTTGAGTTCAGCTCTATTCAAGCACTAGGTCCAAGAGTGGGGTCTGGCTAGTCTACTCTAGGAGAAACCTCACTGTCATTTGCATGCAAACAATGCCTGGAGTTTACAAGGCAGTCCTTGCCGGCTTCTTTGCCCCATTGTTGGGCCTTGTCCAGTCTGTGTGCCAGAACAGGAAGTAAGGGGAAGTCAGATCAGACACCGGAATTTGGAGTAAGTCAGAGAGAGGAAGAGGAAGAGAGAAGAGAGGGAGGGAAAGATGGATAGATAGATATGTGTCCGCCCCAGGAGAGCAGGCTTCTATGGACCTGCGGGGGAGGGGAGGTAACGATGAACACCAAGTGCTGTGGGGCTCTGTCACCAATGGCCTTCTACCACCTTTCTAAGCCGTTTGGGCC